AGAATGTGTCCAGCTGCTGGGTGCTCACTTTCCTTTTATGGAAAGTGAGGCCTGCCTTTCAAGTTGGCCTGGCTGGGCCCGGTGTGCCGGGCCCCAGCAGCTTCACGTCGGCCCAAAGTGTCTGCGCCCAGGCCCAGTCTGACAGTTGTCTCGGCCGGCAGCTTCAAGATGCGCCAACCTCCCCTGGGCCAACTGTCTGCGCCCAGGCCTACTTCAAGAGGAGCCTGGAAGCAAGCTTCCGCGAAGATTCTGATCCTCACGAGCAGGGCAATTTCAAATTTGTGACCAACTGGCGCCTGGTAATTGCCCGGCGGGCAACAACAGGCAGTTGGCAAATTTGGCAGATTTGGGGCCCCTTGTAATTATCGGGCCCAGCTTCACTTAGGGCGGGCGCTCCACACGGTAGGGGCCTCCTTGAGGCAACTGGAGGCCATGGTCTAGCAGCCAGGTGAGGACTCGATCCTCGCATATGGGATGCTGGTGCTGCACCCCACAACTAGATCTGAACCTTTTTCCTAAAAAAAAAGAAAAAAGGGAAAGAGTGGTAGGTGGGTTTTCAGTGGACATAGACATGGCAGTGAGTAATGGATTGGCCGCTTGATTGACCTGACGCCAATGGTCAGATGTCAGATATCCGTAAGCATCTCGGCTTCATGCAAGCTCCAAGGGCCTCGCCACACCACTCTCGAAATGTGAAAGAGACAAAAATGTGGCGGGTGCATCTGGTCATGTTCTCGCAAACATTGATGGCTGTTTTGTTATATGAACCTCAACAAATTCAATTTCCATACCATATAGATTTAGATGTTTTGAATTAAAGGCAACCAACCGTCAGGTCAGGCGGCCAATAAGACACTAACCCCACCCCCGCGTCTGGGGGGACGCGTGGATGAGCGCATACAAATGAGTTTTGGGGGAGCTACTGTAATTACAAGTTTAGCTAGTGCAATACCTGTTGTAGGAGACACCATAGTAACTTGGTTATGGGGAGGCTTCTCAGTGGATAACGCAACCTACTGCCATTAAAGAAGGAGATATTGTCAAACGTACTGGATCTATTGTAGATGTTCCTGTAGGAAGATCTATGTTGGGTCGTGTTGTTGATGCGTTAGGAGTACCTATTGATGAAAAAGGTGCTTTAGGCGCTGTATAGATTCTGAGAAGAGCCATATGAGGCGAAAGTCTCACTTATGGTTCGGAAGCCGAGCCATATCAGCAATGAGATGGTTTAGGTTAACAATCGCTTTTTAAGTCTTCATTACTTCCTTTTATAATTGCAGGTGCTAGTATTCTTCATATTGCTGCTTTACATCAATATGCTTCCAATAATCCATTGGGCATAAACTCTTCTGTAGCTAWWWTAGCTACAGAAGAGTTTATGCCCAATGGATTATTGGAAGCATATTGATGTAAAGCAGCAATATGAAGAATACTAGCACCTGCAATTATAAAAGGAAGTAATGAAGACTTAAAAAGCGATTGTTAACCTAAACCATCTCATTGCTGATATGGCTCGGCTTCCGAACCATAAGTGAGACTTTCGCCTCATATGGCTCTTCTCAGAATACTGGAAGTGACAATAAAAGCAGAAAAGCTGTAATTAGCACAGACCAAACAAATAGAGGTAATCTATGCATGGTCATTCCTGGGCCACGCATGTTAAAAATAGTCGCAATGAAATTGATAGCACCTAATATTGAGGAAACACCCGATAAATGAAGACTAAAAATAGCTAGATCCACAGCTCCTCCAGTGATGCCCTACGAGAAACAACTGGCAGCGCAATCTCGCAAGTTCGCGAACCAGAGAAAGACTGTCAGTCCTTTGACATTCAGGGCGTACTACGGGAGGGCATTTTCTACTGAGCCCCCTGGACGTAACTGTGATCAGATTCATTCAGGTGCAGCCGTAATTGCGGCAAAAGTGCCAGTGTGAGTATGCCCTCAAATTCCCGAAAAAAGAAAAGAAAAGCAAATTCAACAATGCGACCTGGAACATCACCTTGCAAGGACTGACGAGGTGTAGGGGAGGTGCTGATAAGAGCAGACACCCCCTCTACTATCCCAGCTCGTTAGATAGCTCCGTTCCATTGCTGGGGAGCTGCACCTGCTGGAAAACCAGTCCTGGACCAGCGTCCCTTTGCCTGTCAGTGAGATGCATTTCAATTGACAGATAAGGACTCCCTCTAGCGCGGCAGGATGGTCCCAAAAAAAAAAAAAAAAAAAAAAAAAGGACTTGCCGAATTGCCACCCCCGGACACGGACAGAGTTAGCAATACACCTGAGACTAGTGGACAACCGTTAACTCATATCGACCGGTGTGGTGGTCCCCACCCCGACAGTTTGAAACTCTGACATGAACAGCACTACGCCCACGAAACTTGTCTGTCAAGGCGATAAAACCCACGCTACACACCCAGCCAGACAGAAATACCCACTGGCATATGACCGCCATTGTGGTCCCCACCCTCGGTGTATCGGTCACCTAAGCAGAGAGCTTGAGAGGCTGTGCTCCGCGTTGTCTTGTCGTGTTTGCAAAACAGTCACAGCGCCAGCATACTGACAATCAGGTACCACCATACTATCATGCAAACTTCGCACAGGATCAGGGACAGGGGAAAGGGGGAAAAAAAACAAAAAAAACGACGGCTGTACAGTCTGCGGCTCTGTGCAGCCAACGCAATTTAAAGAGCAAGTCTTAGAGCCTCAGACTGAACAGCTGTCGTTTATTTCTTCCTTTCCCCTGTCACAGGATCTGAGACAGGGGGAAGGAAAAACCGACGGCACGGCAATGCTCCTCGCAATCAAATACTAACAATGCAAATTCTTTTTTTTTTTTTTTTTTAAGAATGCAAATTATCAGAAGAGCTGCACAGCAGGGAAAGATAACGAGGGAAAAAAAAAAAAAAAAAGTGAAGGGAAAAAAAAAAAGTCTGTTCAACAGTTCAAAATGTGACCCAAGGGAAAGAAAGAAACAAAAAAAAAGAAAGTGACCCAACGCAAGAGATATGTCTCACACGCAAAGTAAGGCCTGACTCTGCTGAGTGAAAAAGGCCACAGCCTACCCAAGATCCTAGCTCAGTGGGTACACCCATGAACTGTTGAAATACAGGCCTGTGTTCGAATCCAGATGACGGAACTTGACGAGTAAAACCAACTACTAATGAATTGCTTGGGGCCGGTCAGCTCAATGATAATATCTTAAGGCCACCGTCCTTTAAAAAAAAAAGGAGAAAACTACGGCGCAGTCAGGGTTCGAGTTTGTACTTGCAGTTGACGCAAACGGGCCCGTAATGCTGAATGTATATGACCCACGTTTCGGGTCCGGTGGGGCCGCGTGGGGGGGTGTTGTATTCGCCGGATTGCCTGAAGTGCAATTACAAACTGTTTCGTGACTGCGCCGAAGTTACCCCCCCCGCAAAAAAAAAAAAAAAAAGGCCACAGCCCAAATCAACACTTGGATTGAGATTTGACGATCAGCAACACATGCTGCAAAGAACTTGAAAGAAGTCCATTTCCGGCCGAGTCGGAATACAGACACACAAAGAAGGCAAGCTTTGCGACATTTTCCTCTTAAAGTTTTAAGAAATACTCTAGTACGAGTTATGCGACGATGTCTTCTTGGAGTCTGTCTGATTTGCAACAGACGTCTTTGGCTTTCAGGAAGCCCTCTCAGAAAACATTCGGCACTGACATCAACCTAAAAGATATATCTACACAAAAGTTTCTGTCCTTAGCTCTGACGAGTTTGCCTGTCTTGTCTGACAGAGTGCTGCTCATGCTCACACTTGCATTCACTACTACGGTAAGCCCCTTTCCCACCCTCCCTCATAATTGTCTCCTTCCTATAGCGGTTCCAAGCGCAACGCATCGCGTTGATTGAGACGTGACTCTGTTGAGTCGAAGCCCAGCCCAAAAGCGTCACTTCGATTGAGATGAGACTCTGGTGAGTCAAATCCCACAGCCCAAAGCGCCGCTTTGATCGAGATGTGCCGCTCAGCAATGCATGCTGTGACGAAACCAACTTGAAAAAATAAAAAATAAAAAAAATAAATTAAAAACTCAAAATTTGTTGCCGACTCCGACGACATACTTAGCAGGGCATGCTATAAGGCATTTTTCTCTTTCCGAAAAGTTAACCCTCTCGTACCGTAACGAGGTTATGCACCAATATCTCCGAGTCTGTCCGTTTTGAAAGAGACTTATCACAGCAGATATCCTTGTCGTAAACCACCAGCACCTACCACATTTTTCATAGCAGAAAATTTAATCCTTGTCTTAAAGCACCACTACATGCCAGCTGTCTGCCGCGCGCCCCTTACTTAAGGAGGCCCCCCCCCCCCGATTCATTTTATCTACGGCGCTCGGCCTCCAAAATTTTCTGAGGGGCTCAAAGCAGGTTCTCCAGTTGCCTGGGGCCATGTACTGGTGGTTAAGGTTTTTCAGAAACCCCTCAGGGAACAAATTGGGTATTGAAATCGACCGAATGCGCCCGCCTACCATCTTCACCCCGAACAGAACCCCCAGTCATTCTCGCTCTCGCTGTATCTGGACTCCCAAGTGCAGCTATAACGACTGGCCGTGCTATTCTGGTCACGACCGTAAAGGTAGTCCGCACACTGCTGGTTATGCTCCCACTTGCAATCACAACCCCTTTTCCCACCCTTCCTCATTGTCTCCTTCACTTGCCGTGCCAGCCGGGTTAGGCATATTTTATCCAGTTGCTCAGCAGAAGTGGTTTAAGCCGCTAGTACACGGCCCCCGCCTTGCAGAGAGTTTTTGTCGCCACAAGCAAAACTCGGAGGCGCCGCGCGGCCAGGCCCGCCATTGAAAAAAAAAATCGGCAGCCTCCGAAGTGGTGCGGGTTTCATGCTGACACCCGCGGGCCGATATGTAGCGTACTGGTGTGCTTCAACGGGCCATCCACCACCTTGAAGCTATCGGGAGAGAAGAGCTACGAGCTGACCACAGAGACAACACATGACATGACATGACATGACATGACATGAAGCACTTTTACTCACCTTCTGAATAGGTCCCTGCCCCATTTGGCAGTTCGGTTCCATAGGAAAGAAACATCATCACAAGTTGGGGCGGACGCTATCGGACTCAGATCGACGATGCGCCTGATGCCCACCACCACTTCTCCTACGAACCCTCATCGACTGTCTGTGACTCAGCGAGCGCTACCTTTTTAACGACTCCCTCTAATGATGGGAGAACATCTTCAAAGATCTTCTTTGGCCTCTTGCACCTGTTTAAACTGGCACAACTCAGCCCCAAGCCGGCAACCTCCCGAGCCAGATTGACATCCCAACCGCCAGCGTTGGGGTCCAGAGCATTTTTGAAAGCCGCATCGTCGCCAATGGCATCCTCAAGTATTCCAAGTGCATTCCAAAACTTTCCGGTGAGCATCTCCAGAACAGTGATCCCAATTGCGTACATATCAGTCTTCTCATCAAAGACACCGGTCCGGAAATACTCCGGAGCGATGTACTGAGAATTATTTCCTAAGGAAAGCTGCAGAGAATCTCCTTGCGCGCCTCTTGGGACTCCTCCACCCCGATCAGGCGCGAGCAGAGCCTGATCCACCTCGCCAACCTTTGCCACAAAATCTTCGTCAAGAAAAATGTTTGCTGGCCTGATGGCACCATGAATGATCGGCCCGCCCGCGGCACCAAGTGAGGTGGAATGAAGGAAGCTCACAGCTCGTACAACCTCTGCCATAACTCGCAAACGATCATACCAGGGCAAACATCTTCTCGCCGGCCTCTCCTTGGCACATAATATCCAGTCCTTCAGGTTTCCGTTTTCCATATGTTCGTAAACCAAGCAGTTCTCGCCATAGCAGACCCCCAACAGGGTCAACAAGTGGGGATGCTTTAATGCTTCCAGCTTGTCCACAACCTCCATTTTGAACGTTGTGCGATCAGTTATCCGGCGCCCACCAGTGCCCATAACCCTCTTCTTGACGATAACAGGAGTAACATCACATATGAGTTTACCCCGGTACAAATTTCCATTCGGATCCCCATTGTCATATCTCCGCTTGACATCAAAGCTATCGGCCGCGCGTTCAATTTCCTGATAGGAGTATTCCCTTAGTAGTACCCCCCCCATTGAACGAACCCGCTTCTTTAATCTTTGCTCCAGCTGCTCAATTTGGACCTCGGATTTCCTGATTTTCTCTGCCCTTGTCGTTCTCTCAGACTCCAGCTGCCGAATTATCGCTATCAACTCCTCTTTGGATGCGTCTTTCGTCGGTTGAGGCATCATACTATTTTTCACTTCCTTTGCCAATGTCTCCCTCCACTCCCGAATCCTCCGGCTCGAGCCTTCAAGCATATCCACCACCACTTCCTTTTCTGCCCTCAGATCCTGGATCCGCGCCTGTGACTCCTGCAGCCTCTTATCTACAGCTTCTTTGTCTGCTTGCAGCTCCTGAATCTTCAGCTGTAACTTCTCTAGCCTCTCGGCTGATGCTTCCCCATCTTCTTCATGCCGACGATCACTCTTCGCTTGCATTCTCTCCTTTTTTCGCTGTTTTTTTCTCAATCCGCTGATCCGTTTCGCGTATTTCTGCTTGATACTCGACACCTCCCGCTTGTTTCTCTTCTCCAGTTCCACCTTGGCATGGAACGCCTTCCGCTGCTCCTCTTTGACCCTATTTGCTAGCGCAACTGACTGCAGCCTCAGCTTCTCTTCTACTTTTTCCTTTTCTTTTCCTTTGATGATCACCTCTACCACCATAAACGACCCCTCACTGCCTGCAAGAACAAGCAGATTTGAGCGATTGCTTGGCACCCCAGTTACAACGGTTTGAGGCCCGAAAAGGAGATGGGATGACAACAACTCGTAGCTCGACTCACTCCAGACTTCAACTTTTCCAGACCTAACATCTGTAGTAAAGATGTACGGCAAGAGCGGATGGAAGAAGCAGATGGGGAAAAAATTACAACTAGTGCTCTTAATCTTAGCTTTGCAGTCTCCTGTCTCATAATCCCATATCCTCACTTCACCAACGTAATCCCCTGTGACTAGCAGCGACTTCTGCATGTCGCTGCAAGAACTCAGCTGCCAAACCGTCTCCATGCGAGTATCTTGCAGTGTTCGCGAAGCCGACTTTTTTTCGATATCCCAAATCTTGACCGTTCCATCCATCGAAGCGCTTGCAAATATGTCCGGCTCGATTGGATGGAAGACCACTTCGAGGACATCGCGAGAACGGCCTTCAAATGTCGTCATCTTCAAGTCTCGATCCCAGTCCAAGAGAATAATCAAACCGCCCATGAGGTTAAAACACAAAAGTAAGTAAGACCAGCTATGGTGGACTGCTATCCCCTTCACCTTAAAATCGCCAGGTGGTTCCTCCAATGTCTTAATGTGCTGCAAGTTTGAAGAATGAATTTCGTACATCATTACGCAGTTCAGGTGAGGGAAGGGACTAGGATTATCCGCTACTCCAACGCTGATCCAGTTTTTCTGCGGAATGAACTTTGGGCGGCAAAGATACCCATCCACGTCGGGGACAAGCCAGGAATACACCTTGGTCCCCTCTTCATAGTTCCAGACTTGCAGACACGTGGCATCAGGCGAGAAAAGAATCCACGGATGATGAGGATGAATGTCTACATCCAGATGCTGTGAACAACCACCTTCAAGAATGTCTGTCCCCGTCCTCGTGAATTTAGTCACAAGTTGTATCTCTCTCTCTTCATTGTCATCATCCTCCATGCCGGCAGCCTAAGCTTCCGGAGTCTGCACGCTATGTATCAATTGACCCCCCCTTACACCCACCCTTGTGTCTTAAGTTTATGGCTACCGACTCTCTACGAGTCTCTAAAGAGACCCTCGAGTAATTGTTGCAGAATGACCCCTTCCTCGCGATCACAATTTCTTGCAGGGCTCGAATGCGGGTAGTACTGGGATCTGTGAATCGCTTGTCTGACAAGAAAGCCCACAGGGATCTGATGATCTTCTTGTTTCACCAGAAAGTCCACAGCTCCCGTGAGCCTCGTCCTGAAAAAAGACAAATCTCACCTTTGATGCGGCTGTCAAACGAGAGGTTCAACCCCCCTACTCAATATGAATCAGGAATTCCAAACTGAAAATGTTCTTACAGTAGAATCCGATCCGTAGTGAAACTTCAAGATGCGTTACCTGTTTGAGGAGGATGGCAGCCACATCAAGGATTCCGAAGAAGAAAACAGAAAAACAGGAAATTTAAGAGGAAAAGAACCGCAAACACTCGACACCAGAGATATTAGGCGAACCTGTCAACTGGGCCACTGCATCGAACCACTTCTACTGCTCTCCGGACATCAGATGTCATGTCTCACTGCCCTGACACATAAATCCTCCCGGCATCGACAAGAATTCCCTCTCTCTCTCTCTCTCTCTCTCTCTCTCTCTCTCTCTCTCTCTCTCTCTCTCTCTCTCTCTGTGTGTGTGTGTGTCTGTGTGTGAGTGTGTGTGTGTGTGTGTGTGTGTGTGTGTGTGTGTGTGTGTGGTCTAGGGGTTTAGGGGTTTAGGGGGTTAGGGTTTAGGGTCTAGGGTTTAGGGTTATGTTCAATTCAGAAAAGGTCATTCAAAGATTACCAAGTACAAGGGCACATTTTGGTAATCGTACACCTACTTCAGACTTTCAGCCATATCTGTGTGTGTGTGTGTGTGGATGTGTGTTGTCATATTCGCAGCATAATTCGCTATACACAACTCCACAAAAAAACAGCACTACTGTGCCACTGTTTCGTCGGACTTTCACAGACTCATCAGGAGGTTGAACCTGGGCAGACAGTCTGCCCAGGATGCATTTGACTGATGGATAAGGACTCACCACGTCACCCACAGTTAGCGATACCCCTGAAAAAGTGGTCGACTGTACTCACAACAACCCTGCAATCCTGACAGACTGTTGCTACAAACCCCTGACAAGAAAGGCAGTATCTTTCAAAATTCCACCACAACAGCCCCTATTCCACCCAGACGAGTAGATTCGAGTTGAGTCAGCCCAACAAATAAACAATCTCATCTCTTTAGCAAGCAACAGGAATCATAATAGAACCTTTAAGAACTGTGTTTAGCTGGGGTTTCTTCGGGGCAGCCGCACCTCTTTCACTATGCCTCGCACGTACAAGGCTGCCCACCTTTATGGTGGTTTAGCAGCAGCTGCCCACATCCCTGTGTACCTTAAAGGCCCAATTGCACGTTATAACAGGAAAGGCAGTGTGTGTGTGTGTGTGTGTGTGTGTGTGTGTGTGTGTGTGTGTGTGTGTGTGTGTGTGTGTGTGTGTGTGTGTGTTGTCATATTCACTACAT